CGTGGTTTTTGTATTAGACCCGTCGTCTATTTATTTGTAAGTCAATGATATCAATTCAATAAAAATTTAAAATACAGTGAATAGCGACATCTCTCATCAGGACTGGTAGCTGTAAAGGTACCAACTGGGTGATAAATCTTTTATAGATTTCTCATAGATGGCGCTATGACTAAAAAGTCGTTGAAAAACCAAATACAAAGACCACTAGAGCACATAGAAAAATTCGTGAGGTTCGTTGATTCATTCCGTGGCTTAGTTGGTATAGCGTCTGGCACGGTATGCAAGTAGACGTCGGTTTGAATCCGACTGGATCGAAGGAATTTTTTCTGAGTGTTCGTTCTTTGTATTAATAATTATACGAATCTTAAACTTTACAAAACGGCTTTTACAATTAACTTAGCACACGTCCTTTCTCTCTTGTCTTCTCGTTCCAGCGACACATCTTCACTTATTCTTGATTCAAACATTCACTCAAACTACCTCACTAACCGGGCTAATGAAGCCCGTTCGGATACTACTTATGCATATCATCTTACTTCACATCACATTCGGATATCCATTCCTACCAATCAAACATAAAGAAGGATATAATTTGGTTATAATTAAGTAAGTTCATGTAATTACAGAACAAGCAAACAAATGGGTGAAGAACATGGAGCGCGAGAACAATTTGAAAGTAATAAAGCTGACTGACTCAAACTACACCCGGATATTGGAATCTGCGATTCAGTACGGGTTTCCGGTTATTTTGGAAAATATCCGTCAAACCCTGGATGCTGTACTGGAACCGGTGTTGCTCAGAAATATTTTCAGGTACTAATGACTTAACGGATTTTTTTGGTTCTGTACCAGCTAACATATTTTACAAGTGTCAAAGTCATATTACGTACCAGAAGAGCTAGCACGACAGGGCGCGACTTGCGCAAGAGTGACATAAAGCGCGAGATACTGCTATTCTCGCAAAGAGATCTCACGGTTTATGTCGCACCCTGTCGTTGTACCGGCTACTGGTGGGTTATGACCATAGATATAGAAAAAAGGGGACATTTGGTATGGGGGCGTGGTTCGTGTAGCCTTGATATGATCAAAATGATCATATTGAGGTGACACGTCTACAAACATCGCCACAGTGGCATGGCGATCGTTGTACACACAAGATCTCTCGTAAAACGTGAAAATGCCCAGTTATAGCGATACACCTTGTAATAAAAAATATGAGGAAGAATTTGTTTTTCAATCAAACCAACGTTTCGAACTCTACAAGTCCCATGGCACAGCTGACTAAATAAATAGTTTCATTTTCAATGTGTAGCAATCCTGAAAACCCAAGAAGTCGATAAACCTTGATCTTGTTTCAGATCTGGTGGCGTCGACTGCCTCAAATTCGGAGACAACATCCTAGAGTATAACTACGACTTCCGCTTCTACATCACAACTAGACTTAGCAACCCGCATTACTTACCCGAGATCGCCGTCAAAGTAAGTATAGACATCCTGGATTTATCTCGTGCTTCCGATTCAAGGATTACTTGGGTACAGCCGTTGCACATGATACTAGCTAACTTTAAACAAGAAATAGTTATTTTTGATATAAGTGCGGAAAGTTAGTCATTATTCACGAGGCTCGAGGCTTCTTGGCCCGAGCCAGAGGCGAGGGTCAAGACGCGAGACAAGTGAAAATGACAAATCCGCACGTGTATCAAACGACGTTTTTTAATACATTTGCGAAAAAACTACATTGAAAGTAAAATAAAACAGTATTTAAAAAAAACTCATTTTCTGCTAGTAAATTAAAATAATGAAATACAACCACTGCAACCATTATTTAAAAGTCTATGGAAATATAGTTCTAACGTGCTGTTTTTGTTTATTTTCTGTAATATCGGTCTGTAACCACTTTTCTTATTATGAAGTCCTGGTACTTTTGTTTAAACTTCTTTAGGAACCCGTGCACGGTAGTGAGATACAATTTATCTGTAATACATAAAACAAATATATACATAAAAATCTCGCCTATCACCCATTCAGGGGTAGGCAGAGACCTCCACTCGATACGTTCATTATATAGTATTTGTAAATAAATATAAGTTTTAATGACGAATGACTTACGTCACAAAGCACATAAATATTAAATAAATATACAACTTCTTTAGTTCTGTGCTTAAGATTTGAAACAACAGTAAATTAAAAAAAAAATGGAAGAGTAAAAAGCACTAGTGCGAAAATTCCAACTTTCGGCACGATTTGTAGTGCGAAAAATACCACGTTTTGAGCAACTGTATTAAAAATAACTTTTTCTGAAACATGCTCGGTAATGTTTACATTACTTTCAAAAAACGAACACGGAAGGTTTGTCATTTATGGACCGTGCGACTTCTTCCCGGCCAAGGCCTGCAACGTAAGTATGAAAATCCATTACTCCGCTGCTGTAAACTTTTAAATCTATCTCCCAATAATGAACTATGTAAACAGGCAATAGAAAACTCATACAGCCAACTGCCCAGTGTTCATAGTTGCGAGAATTAAAAATACCTGTACCGCTTGCTTAAAAAAGAAAGAAAATGGCGGTAACATTTAAACTAAAGCGAAAAGACAAAAGAATACGTAAACAACGTATTGTTTTGTTTTTTCGCCTTGCATCTTGCTCGCGAAAATGAGTACCAGTGACGTAACGAAAATACAGTAATAGATACACATTCAAACACATCATCAGAAGTCCAGCAGACTACTATTAATGTGCCTGGAAAAACATTAACACTTTCTGTTAGCAATTGTTCTAACGCGTCTAATAAGTATTACTTTTAATATAAATAATTATTTTTGTACTTTTTCTATTATACATCTTCCTCTCTTTAGTCTTTTATTATTTCCTCACATTGTTTGAGAAAAATACTACGCATGCCTCGGCGGAAACAGGCATTGCTCGTCCTTGTAATTTATTCTAATCCAGCAATCCGTTACTTCCCGGTCTCTGCATGTACATGTACTATTTCTTTTAAAATATTAAATTGTGGTGATTTTAAAGATTTTTTCGCGCATTCTAAAAATAGGCGGGAAAGTTTTAAGTTTAATTAATGAAAAACGCTCAAAACTTGTGAATTGTGAGTTTACTAGGCAACAACATATAAATTCCTCGAAATAACACAACCGCGTGTGGAAGCCGCGTAGACAAAAGACAAGCCAGTCTCGCCCGCGCGCCCGGTACGCTTTGTTAAGCTAAAACGTGAAAGGTAAATAAATAGAGTGTATTTTGCCATGACAGTAGCACGCGGTCTCCACGCGCCGTGATTGGATGAAATGGCGTATAGAAAGGTGTCGAATTCACGTTACCACTCACGTCTTTACAAAACCGTCAAAAACAATGACAGGTTTAGATGTGTTACCTCGTCAACCGCATTCGCCTGACACATTTCCTGAAGATTTTCAGTTGTTTCGGTCTTAACAGAATTATTTGAGAATGACTTTAAGAAAGAAGCCACCGTCAAACGACAATTAAAACTGTATTTTATATAAACAGAATTTTTTTTTAAAGGTAATTCGAAAATTACCCAAAATAAGGCAAAAGATTGTAAATCAATATGGCCAGTATAATTGATTAAATTTTTATATTTACTTTTGTTTTTGATTTACACTTTGACGCCGAACGGACTTTTTGGACAACTCAATTCATATGTAAATAAATAGGTAGCAGTAGAGGTCTTTGTGAAGGAGTCCGTCCAGGGAAGTGCCTCCTTACCTGTTTCTACCGCCAAGCAGTAATGCGACTTTTACTGCGTTCCAGTTTCACCCGGTGCAGGTGAAATTACAGGCACATGGGACTTGTCAACTAATGTCTCAGGGTGACGGGCGCAGTGGCAGCGCCACTCAGATCTTTGTGATTTAAAACTCTGAGTGGAACTGCAATTGCTACGAATAGGCGAGTCGCTTACCACCAGGTGCTCGACTTATTGGTCCTGTCACATGGTATTAAAAAAAACTACGCCTGTTTGACAGGTAACGTTACTGAACTTCATGATAACACCTCAAGGGCTCCAAGATCAGTTGTTGGGCATCGTGGTGGCCCAGGACCGACCGGAACTGGAGCTCAAGAAGAACCAACTCATTGTCGAGGGTGCTAATAATAAGAGGATGCTGAAGGAAATTGAGGATCAGATTTTGGAGGTAAAAGGGTATCACTGTTGGATATGCCTACGTTTAGAAACTTACTTAACTTTTCCTTAATAAATATAATAATAATTGTTAACGTCCCCTGTGGTTATTGTCTGGCACGCAGTTTAACAAAAAATCCCATTGAACAAAGCTAATACAAATTATTTAGTAACCTGCCCCCATTGAAACAACAGATAAGTTTGTATCGGCCTGGTCTAGTGCATTAGGATATTGGTAGTTGTACACGACACCACATTATATAAGTTCATCCCCCTTAAAAATTCGTGGAGACAGTTAAGATTTTTAGTGTATTCTATTCCTTTGTATAATATCTTAAATATGCCTTAGTGAATCTACCATCTGTAAAGCGCCCCGTAAACGATCAAATAACTTGTAAAATTTTAAGTGTTTGTCAAATTTATTGATCGTCTGCGGTTGTGTTTGATGGAAATCTAGTATGACGGCGTGTTTGACCAACATGTTTGAAGGCAAGGCAATGTTTATGGTAATGTTTTTTTGATTCCATATAGTCATCTGGTTCTATGCGCAATATTTCTTTTAACAAATTTTCGTGGGTATATTTTTCTTTTAATTTCAACCATTCCCTAGACCAACATCTATTTCTTTTTATCCTAATACTCAGTGCCAGAGTTAATGCCAGAAACGCATTGTCTGTTATTCTTACTCATTGCACAAATTACAAAGAGATATGACTCATTATGTTGTAAGTTTAGTACGTTACATACGACTGTACTTCGTGCAAGTTTGTCGAATTTGTTTGAATGTTTATTTGATCGTATGCGATATTGTTTGAAGAAAGTTTGAAGGATAAATTTAAGTCGATCACCTTTAAATACCGCCGTAAAGTTGCCTGCTTATCGGTGTTCTACAGGATATATCACGGAGAGTGTGCGATGGAATTGCATGATTTAATTCAACCTTCCTTCCGTCATCGTGGGACTAGACGTAGACAGGGGTTCCACGCCTATGTTGTGGATATTCCAAAAATTCACACGAAGCATTTCGCTTCCACATTTATGTGCCGAACGTCAAAGTAGCGGAATTCCCTGCTTGCCGACTTGTTCCCCGAACGCTATAACTTAGGCATTTTCAAGTCGAGAATGAATAGGCATTATTTAATTACGCATGCTACATTTTCGACCTCATCGTCGGTTTACATCAGGAGGTCAAAGGCGCACTTATTTATCTATAAAAAATGACACATTTTCGACGGCAAACTTGTATATACTCTATGCGAATGAGGTTAGGTTTAATTTTCTGCAAATACTTTTTGTATGAAGTACAGTTGGCAAATACACTGTTTATGCAAATTGTTCCCAGGTACTATCATCAGCGGGCAACATTCTAGAAGACGAGTCAGCGAATCGCATTTTGTCCTCATCGAAAGTTCTCTCTATAGAGATTCAGGCAAAACAAGCAGCAGCGGCCATAACTGAAATCGAAATTGACGACGCGAGATTGCAATATGTGCCTGTGTCCAAGCATGGAGCTGTGCTTTTCTTTTGTATTTCTGACTTGGGGGCAATTGACCCTATGTATCAGTATTCCTTGGTTTGGTTAGTACCGATGATGTTATTTGTTAAAAACAAATGCAAATTGAAGGGAAAGAGCTACTTATAGGCTAGGATTTATAGGCTTTCTATCGGATAGTGTCCACAGGAATAATTTAGTTCCACATTTACCATTCCTTGTTCGATCGAATATAATGTACGGAACCATTCATCTATGTCATTGATTGATACGCTACTGGTATCTGTGTTACCAGAAAACTACAATCAGAGGCTCTTCAAGCCTAGAGTGATTATTTAGCGTGGATTAATAACTCAGAGGAGTGCTAGTCTGCATACTACAGAGCGTAACTCTGAAATAGGTCAAAATCCTGTCTTATATCTAGATTGCGCTTCTATCTTCTTTCTTCTATCTATCTATCTTCTTTAATATGTCTTATATCTAGATTGCGCTGATCGATAACTTGGCCTTTATATAAATGGCCGAAGATATCAATTAATTCTTCTTTAATATAAAACATAAGTCAAAGCCAAAGAATCATTTTAAACTACCGATTTCGTACCCTCATGGTACGCTTGGACTTAGTTCTAAGGTTAATATTGTAGATATCTTCTTTCTTAATGAAATTATGTATATTTTTACGGCCATACAAAATATTTGAGTAAATATACTGTGATGCCATAGTCATGATACCAGTCTCCTTAAACTTTTCTCTGAGAGAAACCCGAGAACCTAAGCGGTACACAGAACGAATAGCTCGTTTTTGCAACACAAATACATATGGTTTGTGTATCACAGACGTGCCAGAATGTCTAACCCTCTTCCGACATTCAGGCACGTCTTAGTGCAAACAAAAGTAACAACCATGCCTTGTGAATCAGCATAAGACACACGTACCAAATTAGTATAAATAAGTAGCTCAAACAAAATATAAGACAGTCACCAACCCAGGACTCGTCTATCATTCTCCACCAAACTACCATGGCGAAGTGGTGACCACCAACATCTTTCACCTGCGCCATGGTAAAGTTTGTATATCTGCCGCTTTACCCCACATGACAATCCCCTAGGACATTATGCTATGGAAGTAACTAAAGTAGTCAGTTTATTCCTTGTAACATTATTCAAATATTGATCACGACCTAAAACTATTTTCTAAACTTTGACAAATCGACCCCTCCGACGTAAAGTATCGTATGTCGAAATTGCCAAGTTTACAGAGGAGCCTTTTAAATATTCTGAATTCACTGAAATAAGCACAACACGTGACTTTAGCATTTCTCAGTTTTTTTCGACAAAGCTCGTTACTCACATAGAGTATCATAAAATCCTAGATATCGGTTAGATGTTGTATTAGATGATCACTCTATTTGAGTAACGAGCTTTGCCGAATAAAACGGAGAACTTTAAAACGCTTCACTGTAAACTTGGCAATTTCGATATACGATACTTTACGTAGGAGGGGTCGAAATATGCGCATCAATAGATGGTACTGTGTATTACAAACCAATGTAAATATTAACGCTTGTTAATATGTATAGATAGATGGCGCTAATCCTAAACCAAATAAAATATTACCCGGTATACTTAAAAATCTTCACAATAAGCGCCATCTAGTTGATTTGTTTGTTATCACTAGAGGTTAGAGTAGCTTTGATTAATTGCAGCTCGTCAATGTAAGACAAATTGTTAAAAAAAATAGCTATTTGGAGCTCGTAGCGACATCTGGTGTATCAATAGGAAGTAAATATTTGATTATGCTGTCTTGTATCGCGATTTAGCAGTCCTATTTAATTATTGGTCTATTGGTCATAGTCAATTTTATGATACCACTATAGTGGCGCTACGGCAAAAAGAGCCCTTTAAACCCAAAACAAAAATCCGTAGCTCCGTAGGTAACCACGTTGAGGCAATAGACACTGGTTCTTACCGACTGAGCTACGGGTCAAGTTATTGAGTTGTCGAAATTATCCTTTGTTTTTGTTAAAGATTTTTTATTTTTCGGCATTATGAACCGCTAGTGACATCTAGTGAGAGATTTTAGAACCTAGTGCTGCAGTGAAGGTTCTCGATAACTTGACCTTTGACTAAGAGTTATAACTACGGTGCGGTAACTTCGGGAGAGTTATACTTAATTTCGATAAACACAATTTCGACTCGACAGTACTTCGACTACACATTAATTCGATGGAACGCTACTTCGACAAAACATGTTCGACAGGTCACTATTCCGACAGAACATGAAATCGACAAATAACTGCTTAACTAGTTATTAATTATTTTTCAGACATGTTTATGTATATGAGATATTCCGCTCAATAATGAAATGGTCCCTAACTAGTCTCTCAGTACAGCAAATATTTATATTAAATATTTCATGTTCTGTTGGAATAGCGACCGGTCGAATACGTGTATTGTCGAAGCAGTATTCTATCGGACTAGTGACCTGTCGAACATGCGTTTTGTCGAAGTAGTGTGTAATCGAAGTACTGTCGAGTCGAAATTAAGTATGACACTATCCCATCGGATCGGAAAAGTTTTTCTATGTGTTCAATCTTTGATTAATTATCATAATCAGTAATTAAGTCATAGGAGCTTGCTTTGTATATGTGTAATAATAAAATTCTATTAATTTTTCCAGGTTCATAAATCTATACAATCAAGCGATAATAAACTCGCCGAAACACGACGATCTAAGCGAGCGATTGGACGGCCTGAATGCGTACTTCACTAAAAGCATATATGACAACGTGTGCCGATCTCTGTTCGAGAAAGACAAGCTTATATTCTCTTTAGTGCTCACACTGGGTATTCTGAGGGCTAAGGTATATTATTTTGCTTTACATATATTTTAGAGCTGCGATGATTGAACTGACTTGGATGAAATTTAACTAACGACTAAGTCGTCTAGATAGTTTAACAAGTACTCTTCATCATCATCGACAGCCTGATTTAATCCATTGCTGGGTATAGGCCTCCCGGAGTTTGTGTCCTCCACCACGGTCCTGTGCTAGCCGCAACCATTGACGCCCCGCGACGCATACTCTGTCGTCGATCCACCTATCAACTGGACGCCCGACACTTCTTTTGCCCATCCTCGACCCACATCAATCAGTCGACATCTTGCTTCACTTGTCAACACCTCGCCTTGCTATGTGTCCCGCCCAATCTCATTTGAGTTCCATGATCAGAGTACCAGCATCCTGGACTTTCGTCCGTCGTTGGATCTCAATGTTTGGAACTCAGTTTACGCAGCATGGCGCGCATCATGGCCCTCTGTGCAACTCTCAACCTGTATAGTTTCCTGCGTGAGCGTCCATGTTTCTGTGGAACCTTGTCTGACTTAAGGATTTCATCTAACTTGCCAAACGCAGCCCGTCTCAGCTGGAATATTTTTGAGACAACGCCAAATGAGGAGGTCCCAACAGGAGGACCAATTTGGGAATCGAACTTTTGTAAATTTGTTCTGGTATGGATGTTCTGGGTTGCTTGTGTAGTCATAATTATACCATAACCTCATGAATTATGAATTGTTAAAAAATCACGAAGATGCGTCCGTTTAAGAAGTTAATAATACATAATTTGTCAATTAGTTCCATGAATAGTTCGGATATAAGTGACGCCATCTACTTTCTTTCACGGTTTCTACAACAACCAAAAAGCCGTTAAAACCAAAAACAAAAATCTGCAACAGGCACAAAGAGAAATTCGTAAGGTATGCTAACTCGTTCCGTAGCTTAGTTGGGAGAGACAGCCCCGGTATGGCGAAATAGACTGTGCTTTGAGTCTAGTCTGATCGAAGGAAGTTTTCTTTGCGTTTGGTAAATAATAATGACAATAATAACGTCATCAATCCATTATTCGTCGCTTTTCTGGGCAGATTCTGTGAGGAAAAGGATTAAGGTGTAGTCCACCACGCTGACTTACACATCTTAGGGACTTCCCTTATTTCCAAAAGTTCCTTCGACGTGTAAGTTTCACCACGATGCTTTCCTTCATCATAAACATCCACAGATGTATGTAACTTAAAAATTAGTGGTAGGTACATGCCGTCACCAGGATTATTTTATAAATTCGGCCTTCAAATTCAGAAGCAACCGTTCTGTCATTGGACCACCGCTTTCATGGTTTAATGATAGGCTTATTGGTATCTTTGATCAGGGTCAAATCGACGATGAGCAAGTGGTGTTCCTGCTAACGGGCGGCGTGGCGTTAGAAAATCCATACGAGAATCCCGCGCCTGCCTGGCTCTCGGAGAAATGCTGGTCCGAGGTCGTGCGCTCTTCTAATTTGAACGGGTAATTAATCTGCATGATAAACTGGCTTTCCAAGTTCTGTAAAATCACGGGCCGCGGTGCGCGAGCTCGCGTTGTACCGACGCGTACCTCACCTTTAAAAACAAGAGTAGAACTCGCAATACACACCCAAAGCGTTTCAGACCAGCACGGCCTGTGAAATCACAGGCCGCTATAATACCGTAGTAAGATAACCATATAACTTTGTACGCACACGATACGTAGAATATTATTTTATACTCCATTCGTTGCAAATTAGTTCTTTGAAACCTGATGCATTGATTGCCACTAGATGCCATCGCTAGACGAGCGTATAATGAATAGAGAGAGATGTACTACAAAAGTGACAGTCTTATTGTGCTCTTGTTTGACGTCAGCTTTATTTTCATCTCGTAGTGCATTAGATAATTTCCCGAAGTCCTCTTGTATCACTTTCCTTTATTTGTTGTACAGTTTAACGTACTGCTATGATTTTAGTTGATAACAGTTGAGCTTTGTGTTTGTTCAGGGAATTATTGCCACCTTACCTATTACCGCCAACCAGTAATGTGAGTATTAATGCGTTCCGATTTGGAAGGGTAAGGGTGCTGGTGAACTTAGAGGCCCTTGGAACTTGTCAACTTATGTCTTAGGGTGACAGATCTTTGCGATTTAAATCTCTGAGTGGCACTGCAACTGTCATGGACAGGTGTAGCTTAAAATCAGGCGCATGATTTATTCCCGTCACTTGATAATTAAAAAAAAATGCAGCACGTCTACCCATAACAGGTACAGTGCCACTCAGAGCTTTCAACCACAAATATCTGAAGGTCACTGCCACTACACACGTTATCACCCCGACACAAGGTTTTGCAAATCCTATGTGCCTATAGTTTCTTCACCAGCGCCCATCGCTATAATGCCCACATTATTGCTTGGCGGCAGAAGCATCTATGTATGGTGGAAGTATTTCTTACTTCGTAATGCTACTACATTTTCAGATTAAACGGGTTCAAAGAGTCATTTGAAAAGAATATAATGGAATGGAAGCGGTTCTACGACCTGTCCGCGCCTCAGGAGAACTCCTTCCCGGCGCCTTTCGACACCATCAAGGGCATCCCAAAGCTTATCGTTTTAAGGTACGTCACACAGTCCTAAAATAGCAACTTTTCTATTTATTTTTATATCCAATCAGTTAAATGAACTAGCTTTTGTGGCCACGTGATTGTTATGAGTCTCAATATTTAACAAACACCAATTATTCCAACCCAGATGCGTACGCCCGGACAAATTGATCGCCCTGGTTCAGCAATATGTAATCGCGGAAATGGGTCGTCAGTATGTGGAGCCTCCGCCCTTCGACCTTGAGAAGTCATATAACGACAGCAATTGCTGTTCGCCGCTCATATTCATTTTGTCTCCTGGGTCGGACCCTATGGCCGGACTGGTCAAATTCTCGATGGAGAGGAAGGTTGTCAGCTTTGAGACTATTTCGCTGGGACAAGGACAGGTGAGATAGTACATTTTCAGGTACTCATTTATAAAGTTGTATACACCTCTAGGCAAACAAGCTAATGTGACGTCATGACCGTGCATTTTTTACAGATTTACAGCCAAAAGTAAAAATAAATACGTTGTCAAGGAAAACATTATCTTACTTTGTTAATTCAAGCGGACTGCCAATCGCGATACCAGCCATTTTTGTAACTAATTTTTACATTGGCGACTTGCTCTAATTTCTGTTGATAAACAAAATCTAGATGGCGTCTATTACTTACATTTTTGAACTGTCAGTTGTTTTTTATTTTGTTTAGGATTTGTTTTTCTTTTATTGATAAGGTACATTACTGTTACAGTGTAACTTTACATTAGTCTTGTACTTATATGTCTACCTATTACAGACGTATACAGCATTTAATGTAATAAAATAATGATAAACAACAAAAAGAACAACAAAGAACTTATGAAATTACTGGGAAGATTATGGGCAGAATCAAAAATGTCTATATCTATTCAAACATTATTTTGGTTGTACGTAGAGGATAATCTAGGTAGTGGGCTGTGCAGAGCTAGGTTAGCCCGGCAATATTTTGGTTATTTTATGACGGGGGTATTTATAAGGTATGTTAATATTTATTTGGTTCAGAATATGGCAAACATTTTATTGTAGGATTGGCGCCATCTACCTAAATGTTAGCAAAATGTAATTTTTAAATTAGGTTATAACACTATTGATTACATGTGCCATCTATTGATACGCATATTTAACTGCCTCTGTGACCGAACGGTTACCATGCCGGATTGCCACGCAGAGGTCCCTGGTTCGATTCTCGGGCCGGGTGAAATATTTGTATGGCCTACATTTATTTCTCTCTCTCTCTCTGAGTTTGGGTGTAATTTGTGGTTGTCTATGTGTGTGTCCGCGACACAGGGTTTCCCTAGTGCGGGGCTATGTTGAGAGTGTGCGTTGTAATTATTATAAACTACTTCCAGGCGATCGATCAGCGCCATCTAGATGTAATACAAGATTTTGACCTTTTTCACATTTACGGTCTGTAGTATGGCGATTAGCAGTCCACTTATAATTACCATAAAATACACACAGGTTTTTTCGTAAGACCATTAGGAATAAGAACCACACGCAAAATAGGCGCTTTGACGCCGTATTGCGGACACCAGCCTTTACACAAAGTAGCAAGTACCAAGTAAGAATAAGAACTTGGGGTTTCCCGAGAACTACTTACACACCGAAAAATAATTCTTCAATGCATCAGGGTCCAATAGCAGCGAACATGATATCGACTGCGATCGTGACGGGCGGCTGGGTGGTGCTGCAGAACTGCCACGTGATGGACTCGTGGATGGGCGAGCTGGAGCGCATCTGCGCGGAAGTCATCGTGCCGCAAGCCACCCACACGCATTTCCGCATCTGGTTGACATCCTATCCTTCCAAAGCTTTTCCTGTCACTGTACTGCAGAATGGTAAACACTTTTTCGGCTTTCTTACATTTGAATAGGCACGATGCGATGTAAAATTTGCGAATGTCTGTTTGACCGAGAGTTTTTAATAGCTTACAAATATAGAAATATATAGCGAGTCTCCTTTTTAGCGCTGATCGTCTGACGCTGCTCTGTAATGTGGCAACATGGTAGTTTAGGACTTCTCAATAGCATTTGCTATAGTCCAAGTTTCTGTAGGTGTACTTGCCGTGTTTTTACTTTTATGTCCAAGCAGACCTTGCTTGTTTTTTTTTTTGGATAACTTGCCCAGCAGTAGACTATACCAAAATATGTTGCCAAACATGTCATAAATGTTCTTGCATAATTTTGGGGCTACTTTCGTAACTCAGAGAATTTAGTGACAAAATAGTATATGCTGAATTTCGATAAGTACGGCTCAAAATTATGGACCCTTATAAGCTAGTCCATATATGTGATGGGACGCGATGGTGCAGCAGCAATATTAAAATGTGGTAAGCTCGTGTAAAAGGGGACATTCATTATCTTGCATTGCGGTCCGCCTTGTTGATTATGGATGTACTCGCAGCCTGCAAGCATTGCAGGATTGCAATGCTGCAATGCGTCCTGCGACACTATACTAATACGCAGGATAGTGTGTGAGCAGTCTCCTGCCTGCGCGGCAGACTGTCATGCAGGTAGTGAATGGGCCTTTTAAGCTAGTCACAAATCTTCCTTAAACAAAGTTAACAAAGTAAGGACAGAAAGGAGAGTAAATAATGCTGAGTAAAAAACTAACTACTACATTAGAACCATTACTAACCTAAGACCGCAGATTGGGAACAGTTTCATGGTTTGCACGTACATTGCGCGCATTGGATACATCCAACACAAGACACAATGAACGCGCAAACCTCGAACACCTCGCTGAAGGCCAATTTGTGGCCTAAGAGTGTTTCGGCAACCAACCAACGACGCCAAGAGCGAATAGAAACGGTTAGGTAGGGATAAGTAGAAATGAAATTGCACTCATCCCAACCAGTGTCGGTGTGGTAGGGAAGAATGGAAAAAATCCACAAACATCCATTACACCACAGGGGACAGCTAGTGGGGACTAGTGGAATAGGCCGTTTATAAATGGTCAATAATAAAATGTGAAGCAATCATGAAAATTAATTTGTTTTCCAGGTGTAAAAATGACAAACGAAGCACCAAAAGGCTTAAAGAATAATATCAACAGATCATATATATCAGATCCGATCTGTGACCCTGAGTTCTACATCTCCTGTCCACGCACAGAGGAATGGCGAAGGTTACTTTTTGCGCTGTGTTTCTTCCATGCCATTGTGCAGGAGAGAAAGGCGTTTGGGCCACTGGGTTGGAATATTCAGTACGAGTTCAACGAAAGCGACTTGAGAATCTGCATTATGCAATTGCAGGTAATATTTTAGGTGGAACATACAAACTTGGATTGAAACTGTTTAGTAGAAGCAACTAAGGCGATTTTGCCAAGGTCAAATAGAGGACGTTCCTAAGAAGGGCCAAATTAAGACTACTCTTGATCGAGGAACGTGTATGAAAGCATTGATGCGTGTTGATGAGGAAGAAATGTGTCGGGATCATAGCAAGTGAAAAGCTTGCAGCGACAGTGGTTACTCCTATGGGGACAGGTCGTGTAGTGTATGGAACATAGTTTCCCAAAGTGATCTCTACCGCTCCCCTGTGCGCTGAAGTTCTAGGTAGGGGTCTCGGAAGCAATTGATGTTGTCCAGGACATGCTACCGCAATTTTAATTTATATTTTTCTCTTGTAGTCTTTTTTGTGTTAGGTTAATATCATCACGAGCTATCTTTTAAAATATTTAAAATGTTATTGAGCAACTGTCATCAAATGTCATAATTATCACAGATAAACATTTTTTTTTGTGACAGGTCTTTAACATACATATTGCAAATCACAAGTAACAAAAAATCAGTCTTTAGTAATATTTGAATATATTAACTGCCTCCGTGGCCGAACGGTTACCATACCGGACTGCCACGCAGAGGTCCCCGGGTTCGATTCCCGGGCCGGGAGAAATATTTGTATGGCCTACATTTATTTCTCTCGTGAGTTTGGGTGTAATTTGTGGTTGTCTGTGTCCATGGCACCCGCGACACAGGGTTTCCCTAGTGCGGGGCTATGTTGAGTGTGTGCGTTATTATTTGAAAATCTATCGATTGCTATTTCTTTTCTTAATACTCGCTTTGTTAGTGGGGGTTTGTTAACTGTAATTTATATACATTAATATGCACTATAAGCTAGTAAGTACCTGGGTATCTGGTGGGAATAAAAATATAATTATTTATTTATTGACCCCCTTCATCCGGTGAGAATAGAAAGTAATAGTAATAATTAAGTAAAATAAAACTGATCCACCGGGAAATCTGTTTTAGGAGATAAGCAGCTTCATTTTGTGAAACTGCGTCATTTCCGAGTCGAGGCGTATAATATTGCGGATGGGCTACCCGATCGGATCGATTTCAATTTGAATTAAAATCAGGGCCCAGGTGGGAATAACCCTTTGGCATTTCGATACGTGAGTGACCAAGCATTAAGCTTCACGTTCACCACAAGCCGGTGGTTATAAATCGTCGAAATTTCGCAGCTGACAAATAATCACCCACAAAAATAGTTTTTGAATTTTTTATCTTGATCCACACGTTTCTTCTACAGATGTTCTTAACTGAGTACTCGGAGACACCGTTGGATGCCCTGAATTACCTCGCAGGCGAATGCAACTACGGCGGAAGAGTCACTGATGACAAGGACAGAAGATTAATTCTGTCTCTTCTTTCAATTTACTATAACGAGGAAGTTACTACTAATCCAGAGTGAGTTTACCGATAATAATAATAATAATAACACACACACTCAACATAGCCCCGCACTAGGAAAACCCTGTGTCGCGGGTGCCATGGACACACACATACACAACCACAAATTACACCCAAACTCACGAGAGAAATAAATGTAGGTCATACAAATATTTCTCCCGGCCCGGGAATCGAACCTGGGACCTCTGCGTGGCAGTCCGGCGTGGTAACCGTTCGGCCACCGAGGCAGTTTAAAATACCATAACCGATATATCGACTGTGAACTGGCAATCGGTACTATCTAAATTTTGACAACTGTACAGGATGAAGAAAAAAATTGTTTGCGTCATTTATGTAGCATCTGGTTCATTAAATAAAAATGCGTAGTTTTTAAATATTTTTATTACACATGTATGTATGTACACTACGTATTTTTATTTAATAAACCAGATGCTATATAAATGATCTTTTCTTTACAGGTAAAATTTGTCCAAATTGCGATAGCACCAGTTGCCAGTTCACAGTCGATATGGAAATGCTCTATTCATCAATCGTTGGTATGACATTAGTTTTGAGAATTTATGCTATGGTATTTATTGTGGTAACTCAACGGAACGAGCTTCTCAATGGACAAGTCTACTGTTAATTTTTTTTATGATATCAAATAACGAAACAAGTTTTGCGCCTGGTGGTAAGCGACACGCCTGTCCATAACAGTTGCAGCGCCCAGAGTTTAAAATCACAAAGATATGAGAGGCACTTTCATTCCGCTAGTCATCCTGTGACATGGTTGACAAGTCCACGTGCCTGTGATTTTACCAGCACCCTTGCCCTTCCAAACCGAAACGCAGTAATGCTGACATTACTGCTTAGCGGCAGAAATAGGTAAGGTGGCAGTACTTCCCTGGACGAACTATTGGAATCTTCTTCCTGTCCTTATTTCACGCTAGATGGGGTCGGCACAACATGTATTTTTCTTCCATTCTCCCCTATCAGCCGTCATTTTTATACTCACACCTTTCTTATCCATGTCATCTTTCACACAATCCATCCATCTTTCCTTTCCCCTTATATCCTTCCACATTCATACCTGGCACTTTTCTCGTCACATAACATTGTTCCCTCCGCAAGACATGCCTTACCACGCTAACCTATTACTCCTTATCTTTTCCGTCACTGGCGCCACTTTCAAACGTTGCCTGATGTGTTCATTCCTTATCTTAACCTTTCTCGTCACTCCACACATCCATCTCAATATTCGCATTTCCGCTACATGCACCGTTCGTTCATCCTCTCTTTTCATCGCCTAACATTCTGACCCATACGACATGACAGGTCTAATGACGATCTTGAATATTTTCCCCATTAGCTTACCAACTATTGGAATATTATACATATATACTATTGGAATATCATATATACTATTGGAATATGTCCATAAACTGCGTGCAATGAAATGCTGTGGTGTCTTCGTGTGCCCTCTAGTGATTTTATACATACATTTACTTTTAAGTTTTGAGTTCGTTTTTGTAACGTATCTATATTTATGAATGTTCGCGGTACCTCTCGCTATAACTGTGAGCTATTGCCAGCAGTGGGACCGTAACGGGTTCATGATCATTCAAAGTAAATTCTACTCATCATCAACAACACATTCCGATACCTCCAATAAACACTACGCCAATTTATTTTTTGGTCATGTGTTTTATTTTTCTAAACAGCCATATTTATTTACTAATTTGTCAAAATAACAATAAAGAAACGAAAACCAAAATGAAAACGGAACGGGTCCAAATAACGTAGGGTCGTATTCCAGAACTCTAGTCAATTCTCAAGTCAGGACTTGAGTATGATTTAAAGCACTAGAAGTCATACTCAAGTCCTTGCTATTAGGGTCGTATTTCCAGGGCTTCAAATCATACTCAAGTCCTGACTTGAGCATTGACTAGAGTTCTGGAATACGACCCGTAGTGTTCATTGGAGGCAGTGTTGCCATGTGCACCGTAATTACGATAAATGCACCGTACTACCGTACAAATTTGCCACCTACCGTTGACACACGACAACGGTGATAAAATCTACTGTAATCTGCAGGAGCTGGATTTTTTGTAGTAAAGCATATTAAAGGAGGAGCGAGATCGATGTATGCGGTTCAATTAATAATAACCCGCCCCCTTTAAGGAAATCTTTTGATGCAGCAATCTATCCATATGACGCATATGCAAATATTCGTCAATTTTAAGCCTGACGAGGAAATGTTGAAAAGATTAAATAAAAACATTATATACGTATTTGATAAATTTTTATTTTATAAATAGGATCAGATTTAGTAAAATTTTTAGTAAGGTATTCCTCTCCTCATTTTTGTAAATGTTCGCATTTTATTTTTTCTTTTCTCTTATTATAATTCTAATTTTCCTTACTTAATTATAAAATAAAGCAAGGTAAAAAACTCCCATAAAAGTTTATTACAAAGTTAAGTTACTTTTAAAAGTATATATTTTACCATAATTACACTGGTTTTTTCCTGGCTCAATGCCACAATCACCGCAATTTCCTAGGATCTACCATATTTTACGAGCGGAACCACCGTTGACCAGATTTTGGACATAGCAACACTGATTGGAGGTTTCGATGTATACGTCCCACTGCTGGGCACAGGTCTCCTCTCAGGCGAGGGTTTAGGCCATAGACCGTCACGCTGGCCCAATGCGGGTTGGCGGGGACTTCACACGTGTTCCGAGGGCTGTCCGACGCTTTCCTTGCGAAATTAAATTTCGCACATAAATTCCGAGAAACGCAATAGGTGCGCGCCCGGATTCGAACCCACGACCTCTGCTTGAAAGGCAGTAGGTCAAACTATTTAGCTACCACGGCGTTTTCTACTCATTATGACAAATTTCAATGTGCCTTTATAGCTATTCCTTCTCGCCGAGCGGCAACTACAAAATGCCGCCAAGCATGGACTACAACTCCGTGCTGGAGCACATTCGGGCGTTTCCTATGATCGCCAAGCCAGAAGTTTTCGGACTGCACGAGAATGCTGATATCACTAAGGATAATAAAGAAGCTGGTGCTGTTAGTATAACTTACATATTGTGCTCTTCATAAAATGACGAAATTGGACACGTAACGTGTTCCGAAAAAATACAAGATTAAAAAAAATATATATTGAATTGATATTCAATTATTTTTCATGTGAAATTACTCCACTAGTTTGTTATAATTATTCATATAAAGATCGAAAAAAAAATTCCTTCATATAGAAAGACACGACAACAAGCACATAGAAAAATTCGTGAGGTCCGCAGAGCTGGTTCGTTCCGTGGCTTAGTTGGTATAGTGTCAGGCACGGTATGCTAGAAGACGTCAGTTCGAATCCGGCCGGATTGAAGGATTTTTTTCTGAGTGTTCGATCTTTGTATTCTTAATTAATATTAAAAAAAATTTGTTAAAAAAAAAAATTTAAAAGGATGTGAACCAAACCATTAAATTCATAAAGGTATGTTTTGCCTCGAAAATGTGTGGTTTTTTTAACGCCTTAATATAATTTAAGGTCATACAAAAGTGCTGTTACACAATAAGTAGAAGAATTTTTGAATGACAAAGAAATAATCTTTATGTGTTACTTCCTACAATATTATGTAGGTTCATCATTGACCGTCAATCTAAGATCGCATTATTAATATATTTTTATTTTACATATCGCCGCCTTACGTTCTCAAACTCGTATCTTAATATAATAAGAAATTTAAAATAAATAGAAAGTTTTGGCATCTTCTAAATAATCGTCACTCTCTATAAGATACGAGTTTGAGAAAGTACGGCATCGATATTATATTTTAAATAATGAAATATTTTTGTAATGTCTGTTCTTTCAATCCGACTTTAAAAAAGGAGGTTTTTCAATTCGACTGTTTATTTGTGTGCGACGCGATTACTCAGATTTGTGAAGCGATTTTGATGATTCTTTTTTTTTGTCGCATAAAGGGTACCCCAGTAATGGTCGCGCTCTTTCCGGTAACCGATTTCAATTAAACTTGGCAAATAGATGTAATTCCATGAAGTTTTGGGGTTGGTTTTTTTAACATAAAAGTTACAATCAGTGGCGGATTTGCCCTAAGGCCCAGTAGGCCCGGATCTAAAAATCGTGACAAAAAATTCACTGGTGATAACAAGAAATGACCTAAATATTCTAAAGGCTCACACACATTATGGCGAACCGCACTGCGCCGCATCGTATAACAATAATCTTCCTAAATCACTTTCGTGCATTTTATGTATAAAAGATAGATATTTTACATATCTATAATGTAATGTATAATCACTAAATCTACTACGTCTGTCTGTCTGTTTCGGGATAAGCGATCTCAAAAACAACTTGCACGGATGTAGTCAGTACATGACCTGGGGCCTAGGGCGGCCAAGATTGCAAATCCGCCTGGTTACAATTACAAAGTTTTTAGCTACACCCTGATAGGGGTACATGAATTTTATGTGGCACTGACATGTTTGCTGTTAAAAATATGTCAAAAATTTTATTCAATTCAATTGTTTATTTATTTAGGCATTAATCCCATAACATTACATTGTACATTACACGGACTTCAGACTTTTTTGTCATGCTTATTATTGTAGGTACTTTTGTGTTTGATTTTTTTTCTTTTTGAGGTCTTAACTTTTACCATAAGTTAGATATTTGAAAATGAAAATGTGGACAACTGCAATTGGCGCTGACTAGCTTTACCTAAAAACATTGAATGTAAATTGTTATTAATAGCTGTTGTTGTTCCGTATAAAATAAAAGAAAATAACAAAATACTGAACACGGCCCCGCACCGCAGCTGCTGTTCGGCACGCTGCTGACGCAGACGGCCATCATCGCGGGCGGCGGCGGCGCGGAGGGCGGCGAGGGCGGCGGGGTGGTGGAGCTCACCAGCGACCTGCTGCAGCGCATGCCGCGCGACTACGACATCTACGAGGTGTCCCTCAAGTACCCCGTCGAGTACTACAACAGCATGAACACGGTGCTCAAGCAGGTACGTCGCTACTGCATTTTAGTGTGCTGTAGAGCTCTTTCATAGTGATAGAGTTGGTGTCGTCCAGGGAAGTACTGCCACCTTACCTATTTCTTTTTGTTTATAATATGTGACGGGACGAACAAGTCGTGCGCCTGATGGTAAGCGACACGCCTATCCATAACAGTTGCAGTGCCACTCAGAGCTTTAAATTTTTTTACGAATTTTTTAAATTTTTTAAACGAAGATTAGGAATTTTTCATCTGCTCCCTCTTAAATGAATTTGAGACTTATGACGACGACTGTCAATCAGTTCGTCCAGAGAAGTACTGCCACATTAACTATTTTTGCTACCAAGCTGGTGCTGGTAAAATTACAGGCACATGGGCCTTGTCAACTTATGTCTCAGGGTGACGGGCACAGTGGCTGTGCCCCTCAGATCTTTGCGATTTAAAGCTCTGAGTGGCACTGCAACTGTTATGGACAGGCTTGTAGCTTACCATCAGGTGCTAGACTTGTTCGTCTCGTCACGTGATATTATAAAAAAATATATTTAAGCCTTTTATTTATTAGGTTGGCCATGCGGTATTTAAAACAAAAAAATATGAAACATTAATCAATTGTATTATGGTCAAGGTGATCTACAATCTTATGCCATCTTTCGCGTAATAACAGAATTCTCCTTTGATAAAAATTCCTGTCTTATGGAATACAGTTTGACCTTTTTTTTTGACGGGGGGAAATCTTTATGGATACCCCTGAGCCCAGGGAGACTCAGGGGTTATGTGGGGACTCTCCCTCCAGACTGGAGGGCCTACCCCACTAAAACCCCCCCGGGTTTCCCTCTCGCCGGTTGAGTCGGCGCCGTGGGATCAGTGAACATTCACCACGACGCCGCCCGGCCGCCCTAGCTTACGCCAGGGCTCCCGCGCCAACGGAGGGGCGAGTCGGTTGTCCTCCGACCCGCCCCCCAGACGAGTGAGGCCGTGCAATGCAGGCTCCGGAGTCCCTGTCCAGAGCCCGCTGGTCTCACTAGGGGATCAGGCGAGCAGCGAACTGCCTTCGCCTTCTCCCCGTAATACAGTTTGACCTACCGCCTCTCAACCATTTTTTTTTATGTCACCAAGTGACGGGACGTTTTAGTCGTGCGTCTGGCGGTAAACGACACGCCTATCCATAACAGTTGCAGTGCCACTCAGAGCTTTAAATCGCAAAAATCTTATGGCCACTGCCACTGCGCCAGTCACCTTGAGACATAAGTTGACAAGTCCCATGTGCCTGTCATTTAACCAACACCCTTACCTTTAAAAACCGGAACGGTCACATTACTGCTTGCCGGCAGAAATAGGTAAGGTGGCAGTACTTCCTTGGACGAGCTCTTTACTGTTACCGAAATTTAATTTGAAATTCAAAGAATTTTGTTATAATTGCGTTATTGGTCCATTACCGTGGTAAGAAAACGTGATTCTGGTATTGAAATCATTATAGGGAAGACAACGCTTTCGATCGATAAAGCATTCCTAATATTTGTCGCGAGAGGGATACGCCTTCACCTTTATGATTGACATTTTGATAGAGCCAATACCCAATCTGCCATTGAATCTATTAATAAGGATCTTCTTGTGGTGAAGTCTTGGGCTGATGCGTTTGGTTTGCTTGTAAACCCTAGGAAATCACAGGCAATAATTGTAGGTAGCAACAGACTTTACTGCAGGTTGGACATTAATAATCTCTCCAAGATCTCGTATGATGGAGTGTCTTGCATATGCTGAAAACACAAAGAACCTCGGTCTGATAATCGACCGTACACTGTCCTGGACACCACAGGTAAATGAGGTTGGTCGACGCATGCACTTTTCCTATCATTCTCTCAAGCGGCTTCAATTCTTCTTACCGTTCAACGCCAAGGTTATGCTTGCTCAGTCCCTACTACTCCCTCTTCTCGACTATGCCGATGTTTGTTATTTGGATGTTACTGAGGAGCTGCTTAACAAACTAGAGCGCCTACAAAATCTGGCAATCCGTTTCATATTCGGTTTACGTAAATATGACCATATCTCTGCATTTCGGACTAAATTGAAATGGCTCCCAATCCGACTTCGCCGAGATATGCACGTTCTTTGTCTTCTTTATAAAATTTTAAATTACCCCCAGCTTCCTCATTATCTGTGTTCCCGTTTTTCCCCCTTATCCCCCAATTTCCGCCCAAAACGTACCTGTGACACTAGAACACTTTTATATCCCCAATCCAACTCCAAATTCTTTCACAATTCTTTTACCGTAAGTGCAGCTCGTATGTGGAATAAACTACCTGCTAACATTCGTGACAGTCCATCGGTGGCATCTTTCAAACACAAATTAAGAGAGCACTTCCTGTCGAACGCGTTAGATAGTTTATAGGTAACATATTTGTAAACAAATAATCTGTTATTATAATACATATTCTGCTTATGTATGTATTTATGTATATAAAGATCATGTATGTGTGTATGTCTGTCGTATGTATATTATTATCATTTATACTTTATTCACATTTAAATTTTAATTTTGTTGTACAATAATTAGTCCCGCAGACTTCATTTTTGCACCACGGCTAGGGTTGGCTGGAAGAGATCTCTTATAGAGATAAGCTCACCTTTGTATATGTCCATTGTAACGTGTGTTTCATGTGTCTTTTCTTTGTACAATAAAGAATATTATACATTGATGTGCGCCAAACTAGTAACGACTGGTATCCCTTGATCCCAGGAACTAATCCGTTTCAACCGGCTAATCAGCGTTGTGCGAAGAACGCTCCACGGCGTGCACCTCGCAGCCCAGGGACTGGCCATCATGAGCGCGGAACTGGAGGGTTGCAACAATGCCTTCGCTAAAGGCATCGTGCCTGCCGCATGGATGTCCAAGTCTTACCCCTCTATGAAACCTTTGGGGTCTTATTTCGCTGATTTGCTATCCAGGTAAGTGGTTTTATAGTTTTCTTTTCGTTTAGCGATGATCCCAGTGGCACAAGGGTTTCCACTGTGGGCGCTGGAGTCTCGGAAAAACCAACTTTTTTAAATTGATTCTGCTCTGTATGGTCTGGTAGTGCCCCCACTACGGGGAGTTTTATTGACACTAGGTTGTCTATATTATTTTTCGTAGAGGGACATTCCCATTGCGAGTTGTATTTATCAAAAATGGACTGATAATGAGTCTCACCCGTCATTACATGTTGGAAATTGCCTCACTTGCTGTTGTTTACATTCGACATTGTGAAGAATTTGTTTGTATTCTTTAACGCGTTGTTACGCATAAATGTTTTTTTATGAACTACCTAAAAATAACACTTTGGCTTTAATATCAACCTATACAAATAAATCAACACATCGTTAACATCAATCACTGTCAGGCGATTTTAAAAAGCCGGAACTGTCTATTTGTTATCTTGATAATAATAACTGATGAGGAGTCGTCTCCAGAATTGGTTATCAAGACAGAATATTATTGTTAGGTGACGGAAAGCACTTTTTTATTCCCTGCTTGCGGAGAGTGTAAAGGCGTTCATAATCCATCGTCTCGGCCTGATCGTCAAATACGTACTTAAGAATGTACAGGGTTATTTCTAACATACTAACCTCGCAAATTATAAATAATATCTTTTGTACCACGACTTTTTACAAATATAATAGGTTTACTAAAAATAAACATTTTAATAAACTGCGAGAGGCCGTTGAAATTAAAAAACATCCTAATTTCAACAGGGAAGATGGTTTCTCCGTACCACCAGTTTGAGATCCAGTATTTTCTCTGATGTAAAATCCCAAACAAACATAAGACTGCAGGACTAATTAATATGTTTTAATTATTTCTAATTTCTATTATTAACTAATAATAAATTTAATTTAATAAAATTTCATACTGCAAAATAGAATAATTTGTAAAACAGAATGTAGCGTAAATTGAAATGTCTTTGTAAAATTAATAATAAGGTATTTAATAACTTTTGTAACTATAGTGAAAAAATAGGGTGGTTTGCAATAATATTAGACATAACTGGTTGATGACTGTAGCACCTCAGTTAACCGTGAACATGGGACTTGGAAAGGGCCCGAAACGTTGGTTTGTTTAAAAAACAAATATACGCGATTTAAATTCGGAAAAATAGCTTCATTTCCTATAAACTTTTTAGTTTTTGTTATAATATGACACTTTAAAATCTGTATTTTTAGCAACCCCTACCGCATGCTGTCGTTCATAAATATAATTTTGGCATTGGGTGCTTTTACCGCACACAGTCATCGCCGTTTAGAGCGATCTATTAAAATATTTTTAACCGACTCCAAAAAAAGGAGGTTCTCAATTTGACAGTATTTGTGAACCGATTTTGATGATTCATTTTTGTTGGAAAGAGGATACCTCAGTAGTGCTCCCATTTCAATTTAAGGAAAATATTACACCTCACACAGTTTGGTTTTTATAAAAGTTCTAATTATTCCTTTTTAGTTTCATACTGCCCAAGATCCTTGTTCTCGTGTATTAATTTGTTTTTGTTTATTTTACTTTACTTGACATTTATTATTGTTTTTATGTTAAATAATATAATAACGCACACACTCAACATAGCCCCGCACTAGGGACACCCTGTGTCGCGGGTGCCATGGACACACACAT